TACACTTCCTGAAGGGTCCTCATGGTTCCGTGGATGGCATGGCCGCTAGATTTCGACCATGAAAGCCTCAGACCAGCACGGAGGGTGAACTCCACTTCGATGTTGGAGGGTAGTCCGGGAACCATGAGATTGCCCTGAGGGTGCCCTGGAAGTCATCATGGAACAACTAGGAAAAGAGTCTGGACACAGGGAAACCACAAGAGACAGAGCTTTGAGATGTGGGATCCGTGTGCTTGTGCTGAAAGCGTGAGTGTGGGATGCCACGTTTGGCCTCAGTGCTTGGATCCGTTTGGCCTAATGGCAATGACAAGTGATGCATCAAGTGTATACCAGTGCCATCAGTCCTTACCAGTACTTTTGAGGAAGGAAGTCGCATGAAACATACCCTCCAACCAACACTGACGAAACTCATCGCAGACTTTTGAGGAAAAAGGCTGACCAAATTCACCTGGCCTAGGGCCTGTTCCAGGCGTCTAAAGCTAGGCAAACCTTTGGACGAAACACCTCCCCCGACTAGGGAGGAGACTCCGTTGCTCCGAGCTCCGGCGGGAAGAACCGGCTGTTGAACTGGTTCTCCCAGTGAGAAGCTTCCCGGCTCTCTCCCTGACTCGAGGCTGCGCCTAGCAAAACTCGATGTCTGGTGATTTCGACTCCAAAAGACGTATCTGGTGGTTCCAACTCACGCACCAATTGATTGAACCAATTGATTTGTCATCTGGTTAAGTGGTTCCAACCATCACTTAGAACATTTTGAACCAATTGATTTGTCATTGGGTTGAATCTGGTTCCATCATGCCAAGTGTTTAGGTGTTTTCACCTGGTGTCCGAACCCACGGACGTCTTCTCCACCCGTGTCTCCGCGCCCGAAGCGCCCGAGGCGTTGTTCCAAGCTATTGGCCTCAGGTATCCGGTGACGAGTCGGGTCGGTCGGTCTGCGAGTGGTGCGGTCGGTGACTGGCATTGAAGCTGACCATATCTTGCAATGTCACCTTCGTCTAATTATAGTTGATACAAGTAGTCATGCATCGTCGTGACATAGTCAATAGTAGTCAGGACTAGTAAGGACATGGACATGAAGATCCTTGGACCACTTGTGCAGCATGTTTTCGGCCATGGGACATGAAGTCTTGGTCTTCCGGATGTGACTCCTCGTTCGATCCCGAGATCCGTCCGGAGCGTTGATCACGGTGATCACTGCGTTGTCCCACTCAGTCAGGTTCCAGGCCGAAACAGGTTGCGAGTTGCACGAGGTTTTGAGTGGTTCTAGATGGTTCTAGTACTTCGAAACCAGGTGTCCAGCAGTCGATCACTTGCAATTGACACGAGTCGCTCATGCTGCTTTCCAGCATCATGCAAGCCCGAGGCAGTTTTGAGCACCCCACATATAAGCGGAGCAGTTCCTAGAATGGAATGCACCACTATTGAAGAAAGTTCTCCTGCACCACCAAGGACATAATATGGAGATCTCATGAGATCTCACTCTTCCACACTTTTATGTCGTTTTCCTATACAACCTCTTCCTTCCGGCCATGGTCAAAACCACTCGTCTGGGGGGTGGTCATCGTGTCATCCTGCCCTTAGGAAGGCCCCCAAGCACCGAAGGGCATGAGCTTCCGCCGGCATGGTCTCAAGTTCCGCGTGTTTCCGAACGCCCAAGTGGCTGAAGCTCCCGCCACCTCCCCCGCTGCTGAGACCCCGCTGCTGAGAACCCGACATCGTTGCTCGGCAGGACCTCCACCACCTTGGAAATGGGCTGCCATGCTGAGGAGTCCCTATCAGGTGAAGGAGAAGCGTGGGTGTAAGGAACAAACACATGGCAAGTTCATGGTATGGCTGAGAATACCAAACAGTTTTGTACTTTGGTCGGCTCCATGTTAGTTGGAGTAGTAGACTTCCAGAAGGTAAGTGGGGGTCCCAGAGCCACTGACCCATCAAAAAAAGAGGATGGTGAATCCAAATCTTGACTAGAATCATGCTGACTGGTAGCTCTTTTTGTTGCCTTGGAGAACATGATCTCACATTTAAGAGTTAGCCAAAGCAAATGGGGAGGGTTGCTGGCCCCATTGGTGAAGCCCTCTTATTTCCTTACTTGAGAGTTTCTTTTCTGTGCTTAACCTGCAGACACCAGGTCGAGTTTGGGCGCTCGCCTTTTGTGTGCTTGATAGCCTCTGCCGACCCCCCCCGGTGGCCCTCGGAGCGACCGAAAGGGCCTCCCGGTGGGTCGGGGGGCTCTACCCAGCTGCGAACAGCTCCTTAACCATGAGCGAGGTGAACCACCAATGGCGGTGCTGCTCCCTGGAAGAATCATAATATGGTTACATGGATGGCCTGACCCCGAGCTCGGATGACCGTGAAATCGGAAGAGAAAACAGGTGTTGGTACTCTCCACTTCCATGACTATTCAAAGGGAGTGTACTAGATCTTGAAGTGAAGCATGGACAAGATTCTTTCCCATTCTTTTCTCATAGGTACGGGTCCCCTTTGACACTTGTTCAATCCAATATCTACAAACTCAAACCATTTGCTGTGATTGCTGAAGATCAAGGAGGTCAGCTGAGTAACTGACTGAGGGGGGTAAGTTAGAACCCATTTGATTCGCTTCTGGCATGTGCTGGCTCTTTCTACCGACGACCGCGAGTTCTGATGTGCCCATCACGTCGAAATGAACATCCCTTTTTGAAACAGCCGTCTGATGAGTCTGACAGGGGGTGATTGCTTTTGCAGTTGTGCCACACATGTGCCACATCTTGAAACTGCTGGTAGGTTGAAACTTTTTCTAGAATATTTACAGTAATCCGCAATCCATCTGAATTCCAGTTCATCCCAGTTTACAGTATTACCATAGTTTACCCATGTTTACCCTCTTTCTAGTCTCTTCACCGGCCCATTTGGCTCGCACCGAGAGGAAACCGCCTGGACTGCCTGGACTGGTCCGAGGGGCGAAATCCAAGCTGCACTTGGCCAAGGACCTGCCGGGTTCCGGAAAGGACCGTGGACGGTGAAGGTAGGTGTGAAGCCCAGGGTGGTTGTCACCCAACACGTCCAAAGACCCGAGGGTCAGACCTGGAACATCCTGGAAACAAGCTAGGCTTTCCTCAAGTGAATTGAAGGGTAGCTGGGATGACAAAGGGAGGGTGCTCTAGACCCATCAAGAAACCCATCCAATGAGCTGGCTTGGTCAGGTCTGATCGATGTCTCAAATGGTTTTCTGGAGGTACATGGCAATGGGTATTTTATGGTATTTTACCTGACAGGTCTCTCACAGGGAAGCTGCAGTCTCACACCTGCCCTCCGCCGGCATTTGGAAACTGTCTCACAAGACCCGTTTACCGAAGTAAGTATAGTATAGTCACTATAGTATACATATAGAATCTTATAGGAACACATAATACCATCATTTTCAAGTAACGATGATGACCCGCATGAAATCGACTGATGTCTTCATCGTTTCTCCACGCCGCATATCGGCCCAACGTTCGTTCCCAGGCACACGGTCTGGAGCCGCCGCGCAGAGCCCGGTCGCGTGAGGAAGAGGATCTCGCGAGTCAGAGGAGCGCGCGCGGGCGGCTGTGGCTGTGGTGGGTCTTTAAGTGGGACAAAGGGCAGGGTGGTGCTAAATGTCTGGGATTCGTGGCTCACCATGAAGAAGCATCAAATACCGGAGAACCTTGTCCATTGTGAACCGAGACAAGTAACAAGTACAAAAGGCGTGGCTCCCAGCACAGGTGGCACAAAAATTAGGCCAAAGCTTCTTCGATTCGGGGCGTGTCCCGTTCCCTGCGGAGGTGGAAGTAGGAGCCCGACCCGGGAACTTCATAAAAGTGAAAGAAGTGATGCGCGTCGTAAGGTGGGCACTTTCTCTTAGAAGATTCGTTTGCAGCCAAATCTCCCCATTCCATTGAACAGGTGAATTTCGGGCTCTACGAGCCTCAGGCGCCCGACGTCGTCGACGCACGGCGCTCCGTGACGAGCGCCTGCGCCGGGTCGAGCACGAAGTGCTGTGCCAAGGCCTGCAAGATCACCTGCTCGTGTGCCTGGAAGCCGGTCGGTGCCGGTCAGCCGGATCACCAAGTCTTCGAGGTTGAAGGATGTCTGTTGCGTATGAACTGCCGGTGGTTGGCTGTTGATTTTCTGGAAACAAGTGCTTAGGAAAGCTTCGTATACATGGCACAATTTGCCCAACCTGGCCCTCAAGGATCAGGGCCTCAAGATATGTTTGTGCGCCCTTCTCGCGCCGCTTCCCCAGGCTGGACCTCATAGGACCCCCATGTAGGACCTCTACATAGGACAGGGTCCCTTCAGGATCTGTTGAGGTCCTTTTCAGAAAGGAACATGAGCTCAGTAGGACCTTTAGGGATCATCGAAATCCGTCGATGAGGTCATTGGACTTAGTGGGGCTGCTTTTGTTGCACTGGCACCGATGTTTTGGAAGCCAAGGATCGATCGAAACCAGTTTTTTTTCCGATTTCGATCAGAGACCTTCCAAAATTCCATGTGAACATCATGTGTTGCCAGCGCGAACAAACAGCGCGGTCTTCCCAAGGGGTTTCTGCACAGGATTTCGATGCTTCCTTTTCGACTCTCCACCACCGGCCAACAGGGTCGAATGCTTCCGGGGGGGGGTTGCTGGCCTGCTGGAGAGGCACCACAGGCAAAGTGCCTGAGAGTGAGCGGAGTGTTTTTTGTGTTTCCCGTGACGGAGGTGTGTTGAGTTGTATTTCATGGAAAGCACGAGAAGGTCCACATTAGCTCCTCCAAGTCAGGTGTCTTGAAATTCTTTTTTGGACCTCCCTTTACCAAGATCCTGGATTCATCTTCCGGTTTTTACACGTGAGTCATTCCATTCTTTTTGTGGCTTCCAATAGAGCATCCACCATGGTGGAGCCATGGAGGGACTGAAATGGAGGAGTTTCACCAAGAAAAGGTTGGACCCTGTAACACGGTACATATCTAAGATGGTTGAGTCATGTTTGATAGTTGATGTGTCATGATCCTTTATGTCATAAACCTGCAGCAAGGGACTCTGTCAAAATCAAGTTCTCCCGCCATCGCAAAACACCACAACTCTTTTCCTGCTTGCACACTTTGCAATGGTACTTCAGCCGGCCATGAACGCAACCATAGCACAAACGGCAGTGGAACTTGACTCTCCCGTGTGCGCAGCCGTGGCAGCCGGCACAGTTCCACGTGACTTTACCATGAGGGCAGGGACACACTTTCTCTTGACCTTGCCATGTGGACAGGGATGACAAATTCGGCAACAGTCTGGTCTCTTGCCGTGTGGACAAGAATTGCGCTTCCTCAAACGGCATGGATTGCAACTGCGGCAATTGTACTTCACTTTGCCATGTGGGCAAGGATGGCAAATTCGGCAAGCGTCACGCCTTTTGGCGTGCAAACAAAGAGTGCGCTTCTCTTTTTCTCTAGGGACGATGGACTCCACCTGCAAGTTTCTGTTTGAGGAGGACAAACCACATTTCACCTCAAGCAAAATCCACTGTTTCCTGCAGCCAATCTTGCCGTTTGTTCCTGTCTCAAGTTCCTAAAATCTGCTCAGCAAAGACTTCAGAAACTGCAAGGCTGGCTGAACCTTGGAATCATCTAAGTGTTACCCTTTGCCCCGTCGGCATATGTTGCATTCATATTTGATGCGGCCATGAACACAACCAACACACAAAAGACAATGTTTCTTGATTTTCCCATGTGGACATGGATTGCACTGCGCACAATTTGTCTTCAACTTGCCATGTGGGCATGGATTGCACTGCGCACAACTTCTCTTCCTCCTGCCATGTGGGCATGGTTTGCACTTCACACAATCTGTCTTCAACTTGCCATGTGGGCATGGTTTGCACTTTTCACACTTTGCCTTCAACTTGCCATGTGGGCATGGACGGCAAATTCGGCACATGTCTCGCCTCTTTCTGTGTGGACAAAGAACGCGCTTCTCTCTAGCAGGAGCAATGTCCATTTCCAGATCAGCATTGGAGGACATTCCACACTTTTCCTGCAGCAATCGCCACTGCTTCTCGCAACCGATCTTGTGGCTTCCATCCGAGTCAAGTTCCTGGAGTTGACAAATGAGCGATTTGAGCAATTGCAAAGCTGGCTGAACCTTGGAATCATCTAAATGCAAATAGTTCAAACATCTAAGAACAACTTTCCGGAGCCGAATTTGGAAATCTCGCTTTGAACCTTGTGGCTGTGCCAAAGAACCTGCTGCGCTTCCACCAGACTGATTTGAACAGTGGGGTGGCGACAGTGCAGCTACTGCCCGCCGGAATATAGAGCGGATCTGGCCAAGGTCATCATGTCCAGCTTCGCCAAGTGATTGCTCCAGAGAAGCAACGTATTCTTCTTTCTTTGTCTCACAGGTGGTGTTTCTCCAAAGAAGTATCGCTTTGTTCATCAGCTTGGCTGCTTTTGCAGCCTTGGCTTCTGGAACAAAATGCCCGAGCTCCGTGAAAAGGCCTGACCATTGCAGTTGAAGGTCCGAATTGGCTTCGATGCGCTCCCAAACCTTTGTGAGCACTTTCACCAAGTGATCACAACTGGGCTTCACATCCTTTAACGCCCACAGGTAGCGCTGCAATAGAAACACTGCAGACAACCCATCGTACTGCGCTGCCATTTGCTCAGCTGGAAGCTCTGCAACCCACGCGGCAACATGAAATGCATTCTTCTGCAGTTCATCCGAATTCAGCGCCTCATGAAGGAACTGCTCGTAGCGGTTCAACACATGTTGCGCTGGCTTTCCCCGAAAGCGTTGAGCATGGTACCTGAGCCTCTCATCAAAGGTTCTTGGAGGCATGGCAGAATCATATGGTATATAAGCTTCAAGGAAAACTATCCTCAAAAGCGGCAAGTCAAAGTTGAGTCAGGTGTTGCACAACTCTAAAAATGCTTTTCTTGTCCTTTCACGTCCCAATTGACATGTATATCTACAATGCAATGCTTGGTGATTCTTGACCCCCAAAAGTTCTTGCAACTGGCCAACCTTGCTGGCATGATGGTTTGCAGAACGCTATGTTTCTCTGAAGAACTACACCACGGCCCGAAATGGCAAAATCAATGGAATTCTTAGGGCTTCAGCGGCACAAATCCAAAAGGAATCAGAACTCAGCTGCCAAATGCATGGTTCCGGGCTATCATAGATTTCTCCACCGCCAGTTTGCTGTTTTTTGAACAGCAGCTGTTTGGCAGATCTTTGTTTGAGACCAACTGTGGGCAACCAACCATGAGAACTACCCAGCAAAATGGGTTTGCGGAAGGGTTTTGAGGGTTCATTTCGATGGCATGAGTGTTTCCCACGTGGCCACGTGTTGGGTTCGTGAGCTCTCCCTAAAGACAAGAATGATGTTGTTTATTAGGATTTTCCCCCCCCCCCCCCTCTCTCTCTCTCTCTCTCCCTTTCTCTCTCTCTCTCTCTCGTGTGAAGGGTTTGCTCAGCAACGCAAAAAACAAAATCTTTGTAGCGATCTTTGCGCAGCGATGTCGGTTGTCATGATGACCCTAAGTACTGTGTGACAAGGTGTTTGGAGTTGGTTAGAGGGCCCAAATACCTTCTGAGGAGGTATTTGGAGCCACAGGGGCCCTATAGGGGCAGGGGGAGGAAAGCATCATCCCGCGGATTCAGTTTGAGCAAAGCTCCCCGGAAACCAGGAAAAAATGAAATTCTTCATGGTAGGAGGGAATCCACCGAAGTTCTGCTTGCCCCGAAATCACGACCCACGGTTGGGTCTGGGGCCACCAAAGCTACCGGGGGTGGAAAACCCAACCCATCAAACCCCCAGCTTGCGCGGAGCTGTTGTTTTTTGTCAAAAACAATCACAGGTGGTGTCCTACAAAGAAACGACACATGGAATGCATATCATACAGATTGTCAAACAAACTCTTGTTCTTCGTGGTCGAATAGATTCTCAAAGCCCGGCCGGGGGGATCCTTTATTTGGGAACCTTCGTGTGGAGAAGTGATGGAACAAAAGAAGGGGAAGGAACCCTTGGTTTTGACGAACACACACACATACACTTTTGCAAAGCTCTTTCCAGGGCTTCTGCGGAGAGATCGAACAACATACTGAAGGTCAGGTTGTATGAAACACCCATCAAGGACCTTTATATAGATGCCTCTTACTGTCCTGTGCATTCAACGCACACACCACAGCACGACCTGATGCAGAATGGCTTCAAAATGTGTAAATTACTGTACTTCGAGTGATCCCCACCTGGCATTCTATCTGGCATATCTTCTTGCATTCTATCTGGCAAACTATCTAGCATACTATCTGCCATTCAATCTGCCATTCTTTCTTTTCTGTCTGGCATACTATCTGGCATTTTGTCTGGTATACTATCTGTCATTCTATCTGGCATATCTTCTGGCATTCTATCTGGCATTTTATCTGGCATTCTATCTGGCATTCTATCTGGCATATTTTCTGGCATTCTATCTGGCAATGTATCTAGCAATCTATCTGACACACTATTTGGCATACTATCTGGCATATCTTCTTGCAGCATTCTATTTGGCAATCTACCTGGCATTCTATCTGGCACTGATCTGGCAAACTATCTGGTTGAGGTCCAGCGGTGCACACTGCGATCGGACCCTTGCGGTTGAGGTCCAGCGGTGCACACTGCGATCGGATCCTTGCGGTTGAGGTCCAGGGGTGCACACAGGGATGCACACTGCGATCGGATCCTTGCGGTTGAGGTCCAGGGGTGCACACTGCGAGGGGATCCTTGCGGTTGAGGTCCAGGGGTGCACACTGCGAGGGGATCCTTGCGGTTGAGGTCCAGGGGTGCACACTGCGATCCGGAGCTGGCCAGACAAGATCGGCGAAGCAGATTGGCGAAGCAGATTGGCGATGAAGATTGGCGATGAAGATTGGCGATGAAGATTGGCGAGGAAGGAAGCAAGGAGGAAGGAAGGAAGGAAGGAAGGAAGGAAGGAAGGAAGGAAGGAAGG